CTTTCAAAAAATATGAGCGCATGAGCAACATAACAACAACAGCGTCATATTGCTGCCTCCATATCAACAGTAACGGCCAACAGACAACAAGTAACGACAATGGCGACATTATTAAAGTGTTCCAGGCAGATATTGGAAAAAAGAAAAAGTAACATTGCTGACACGTAGGCTGACAGTGAACAACATTTAATGGCAATGCTATTGTTGCTGGGGATGTTGCTGCTGCTCTTGTTTATGCTCTTGGCTTTTTTATGTCTTACAGCAACAGTAAACATCAACGGCAGCAATAAAGGACAAACAATGTTGGTTAATGTTATCGTTAGTGTAATCGATTGCATCGATGCAAAGGGACTTTTCCTCGGTTTTATAGTAAACAATGAAAGTTTTCGGTAACGAAAAGGTAAATAAGAACTGCTTGATTATAAAATAAAATTTTATATGAAGACATGGTAATTGATAGTTCTATGGAAATATGCATATTTTCATCAGCAACATGATATGAGATTTAATATAACGTATAGACCAGTGATAGTCACCAAATAGTCACCTTTACCTTTTATTCTAGACGATAGAGTTTTTTTAGCACTTTTCTTTTCTTAATTGGATTGATGTTTGAAAATGTTTTCAAAGGTTTACTAAAAAACATTTATTTATTTATATCATAGGATTTTATTATATTATTATTTTTTTTATCGAACAGTAGTGTTATTATTTTTAATTAATTGAGTTTTTGGCAACCATAAAGCTATTTCGATCTTGCTAGCCAAAAATTCAATTAATAAAGAATAATAAAAAAATTGTTGTTGTTGGAATTTCACTACTGTTCGATAAAAACCTCTTTATTGAAAGTAATTGTTTATATTAAGAATTTAGTTTCATTCGTCAAAACAAACGATACAAATCAATTCAACATATTGTTCAACTATTTTTGAAAGTAATAATGTGAACCATCTTTTTTAATAGTTAAAAATAAACTTGTGTATTGCAGATATTTTCAAGAGATTTGAAGACGTCAAGGAAGTAATTAAAACTAGATGTGTTGTTAAAGTATTGTATCATTACATATTGACACATGTTCGCTGCTTTTTACAATAATTTGAATAGAGAATTTCATTAGTCTTCTGATGATATTGAAGAGTATCCAGGGCTTTTTGTCACTAGATGGTATTGGTAAACATATGTCTGGCAATACTAAATCAATTATGTTTAACGGTGTTAAAAATATCATACTTCAAATTTTTTTTTTTTTTAAGATAGTTGTGAAAGTTGCCATGGACTATCTGAAGAAATACGTTAGCATCACATTATTACTATAGAAAAAATAGAACTACTCCAAAAACATACCGAAAAATTTGTGTGGTTTACAATGCGGGTGTTGTGAGCGAACGCAGGACACGAGATAGGCTTGCTCGTTTTCACTTGATAAGTTGTGATGCATCCATTGTAAAGCTCGAATTTTACACCGTCTGACTACCATTTTTTTCAGTCCCAGCACAACTTTCTTAATGGTAAAAAATTCGACGACCCAAGAATCGCTGAAAATCACTTGGTTAAGTTTTTCGACTATAAACTGATGGAGTTATGAAGCCACCTGACCTCATTCATAGATCATAAATAATAATGTGCCCTGAATGAATCTTGAATGGGCATGGAAAACTGGTTTATAAAATTGAATATCAATGACTGTATTAAATTTTTTAATTTAATTTTTTTTTATAATAAAATTGTTATCCTATTCTGAATTCTAAAAACATCAGTAGATTTCTCTTGAAGAAATATATGGCGAAAATCAATAGTCTGATTAATTGGGTAGGTAAAACAGGTTGTCTAGTTTTCGTACTGATTTTTATATTGCTAAATTGTATAAGCTGAGGTGAAGATTTAATTAATGTTTACTATTTACAAATACTTTATTAGGGAGCAATCATTTTGACATATATGTTTGGATCTTTAACTTTAACATGTGTGTTAAATTTTTTTATTCCATGTAATGTTTTTTTATTTAAGTTTATATTATGCTGTGTATTTCAATGTAATTTTTAATTCCCTCATAAATCTGTTCATAGAGACAGCTATTAGTACAGTAACTACTTCAATAGATATTAATTTAATTTCTTGTTACTAACAAATGCCACACTAAATACGTGATTCTGAATTTTAATATATAAGAGATAATTTTAACTACTATTTTAATACTCTCATATATAAATCATTTTAGGACCTGTATTATTTCTTTGATTTTTATAAGGCCGTTAAACTGGTTAAACTTGCAAAAGCATCAATTTCAGTAGTTCTGGAGACATATGCCAAAAACAGCATAATTGATTAATCTTATTCGCTTTCAATTGCCCAAAATATTTGATATGCTAATAGAACACTGTGCAGTCGATACAAATGTCAACCGATTATGGATTCTTTCTATCACAAATGTCATATATGTGACTCAAAAGAGCCAGAGAAAAATTTCACTTATCTACTCTGTTACTGTAGGCAGTACATAAAATAACAAAGTGGTCTTCTAGTTTAAAATCGGTATAACTTTAACTACAGATCCTTAATTCAATTAACTATGGTAACTATACTAATGGGCCTACAATGTGTATTAAGTGGTGTCTACCTCAATTTTTTGTTGTATACATATTAAAGTTGTAAAATGGTCAATGTGGATAAACTACAAATAAAGTAAGAATATACCCAAGTTTTAAAACCCGAATAAAGCTTTGTTCAGATACACAGGGATTATAAAAATTTATATATATAAATTAACAGTAGTTTGTTTTTGTATTATCAAAGATTAAATACAAAAAAAAATTAATATTATTTGTTATGCTTTGTATTGTAATTAAAGTTAACTAAATTAGAAACCTTAGATATATTAAAATAATGTATAAAAATAAATAAAATTAATGTAGAAAATTGAATTAATAACGAAATAAAGTGAAAGGTTTGAAATCTTGGGCTGGTTTTATATTTGAAAACTTTAAATGCAAATTTTTTTCCATCGCTTCTAGATGTACAGTGGGCGAAATTTACTATCAAACGGTCAAAAACATCGCTTCAAAAATATCGATGTTATGCATTGAAGTGTGAATTGAATAGAATCAAACGAATGAAATTTTTAAGAAATTGAACTTTTTTATGGCATCATGTGGATCTTCATAAAGATTCACGTTTTAGGACGTATGAACTTTGCTTGATACAAAAATTTTAATTACTGGATCATTAAGAATATGTGGAAACTTATATATATTAAATATATAGATATTAATATGTAAATATCTATTATCTGAATAAAAATAGATAAGATATATTTGTTATTTTATGAAAGCATATCTGGTTAGAGATAAACATTATATCTGATTATGTGATATCGTAAATAAATGGAAGTTGGACCTTTAGAGCAAAGGAACCTCATACGGTGTTCATTAAACATGTTTATATAAATAAAAATTTACAATTAGATGTGATTTATGTTTTGAAGATGTGTGGACGGCATTCGTAGTTTTCTTAAATGAAAATTACATTGCAATTATCGTTAAAGGATAAGGCTATGGTCCAACATGCTATAGGTATGTGTACATCCCGTGATATAATTATTGCGTTGAGAGAAAAGTTTAATGAACTAGTACTCTTCAGAAATGTTTATATCAACTTACATTTGGTTACCAAAATCTGGCGATATAACATCATTAGAATTTTTTCTTTCAGGTTATGTTAAATCAATGACTTACTTCAGTAAATCACAGTTTTATATGACTTTAAAACTGATGTTATTCGTTTTATTGGTGAAGTAGGCGCAGATTTATATGAAAAATTTGGTACGCATTTTTGTTTTAAAATTGAAGTTTTAAAAAATAGAGCCGGTCACTTATATGGAATCATTTCTAAATAAACAAGTCTTGAGTCTTTAAAACAGAGAAAATTATTTTTATATCTGGTACGGATTTCGTTTTATTTTAAATTTCATTTTATCAGTATATTTTAATGAATATAAGTTGTAATTTAACGTCAAATTTTCCAGACGAAAGTGACTATTATATTTTAGTAGAAACTTATTATATATCATAAAGAGGTTTTTTCGAACAGTAGTAAACTACAACAAAAATTTTAGTTTTTATATTATTTTAATTAATTGAGTTTTTGGCTGATCATACAGCTGTTTCGAGTATTGCCAAATACCTATCGTATTTTTTAATAAAATTTTGTTTAATATATAAGATTCAAAAAATAAGATTTTTAATAAATACGATTTATAAGTGAAAAATTTATTTTTTGTAGTCTTAACTATATAATAAATTAACTAATAACATAAATTTATCTAAATGAAATATATAGCAAACTTTACATTTGTTAGAATACATAATGGTATTGTCCCACTGTATGGCTATATATTGATAAGCAAAAGGCGAATAAAACAATAGAGAAATTCTTATTATTTGTAAGAATGCAAAGGCATAAAATAGGAGTACGAAAAATAAACTGCAAACTCAAAAAAAAAAAAACCTGAATACAAGGAAATCCTTAGGCTACAGGCGCATGCTGAACCTGAACTCACAAATCAGCGTATAAAAAAAATAAAGTCGCGATGTGTTATACACAATACACGGCACTAATGAAATATACCAGAGCGACAGCGAAGAGCAAGCATAGATACAAATACAAAAAGTATCTAAAGATACTCTTAGCTAAACTGTCAATATGCGAGTACAAAAATAAAAACAAATTGTGCAGCTGTATATTTGCTCTGATTGGAAAACTGCAGTTGCTTTTCAATAAAATGTACTCAAGGCGAGCCGGGCCTTCCAATGCTCAATTTATATATCTCTTTCGTTCTGGCGCTTGTAGCCGGTAGCCCGAATCCAATTGGAGCAAAATTGTACCGCTCTCAAGCAACTTGTTGAAAATAATTTTTACAGGTTTTTTGTTTTGTTAAGCATTTTCGTAAAATGTGTGCGCTAGCAAGCTGAACTGAAGAGTATCTTTGAGATACAAAATATGATCAGTCGCGATGAACTTATGCCGAACGACGGTTGACGGATACGCAAGCGCGCGTTTCTTTTAAGATTTTTTAAAGAATAAACAAAAATTTCGCTTTGATTTCATAAAAATTGTTCGTTTGTATAAAGTGAAGTTTTTGCATAATTAAACTATAAATCAGAGATACATACTGATGTGATAAAAAATTAAATTATATATAATTAAAGTGTTAATAATTACAAATTAATTTTTTTAAACATTATTAAAAGAGAAGAGGAAATTTCTCGTTTAAGTGAAAGTTTTTGTCAGACTTGTAATTAAATTTAATAAAGATATTATCTTGCGTCACATACTCGTATAATAAATTCGATTAAGTGTTATTTGGTGTACTAAATTTTATTACTGCACAGTTTGAAGTGGCAAAAATATCTTATTGAAATACAATTTTAATCCAAATGAAGCTATTAGCGTTACTGGATTTAACAACAAATTGCAATTGCTACAACCGAGACCTTTGCGGACTTTCATGCCAAAAAAGTTTTGGTCTAAAATAATGAGCACAATTTTACTGTCATTGCCTCAACGTTATAAGCGCCTATTGCAAGCAATGATACTCGCCGTGGCTATAATTTACACCACACTGGTGCTATACCAGAGTGTCTATGGATATCCTGGCATGCAAGTAAGTTATCAAGACTACAACTTTCTGGTACAAGTTTTATGCACAACTTCATATAAAATTAAATCAGAGCACTGCTGGCCGTGGAGTTGAGTTTTAAGTCAACAAAGGTGTGAGTGGGTGTGTGCGATATCTTGTAGGAATGTCACATGATAAATCCAAGTGCAAATATATATAGCTTTTATTTGCCTCTCTCAGTTATTTGTTGTATTTTAATTCATGTCACACTTCGTTTTATGCGTTGCATCAGATAAAGACAAATTTATCATGTATTGTATGCGATATAAATTATATATAATTTTTTGTTTTTATAAATTTTTATATCTTTACCATGAACTGCGACTGGGACGCTAGTGATTGTGTGGTTCCGAATATCTTATAAAACCAAAAAAAAATTTAATAAATTTAAGATTTGTTTGGTTTGGATTGTTGCGTCTGCGCGATTTGTGTACGTGAGTTCTGCCGTCGGCACTCCATTATGTGTGATTAAGCTTCATGTACTTTTTTTCGTGCCGACTGGAACATATGAGCCAGAACTGCTGAGTTCTAAGATTTTTCTTTGTGCTTTCGTTGTATGGAATTTAATTTATGGAATTCTGTTTTACTTTATGCTGAATTTATATTAAATTTCGAAACGAATCTTAAATTGTGACATTATCATTGCTTGGGATTGAAAGGCAAGAAACAATTCTATATTTGGGATGTCCTAAATCTAGGTATTAAGACATAGTTCAATTAAGAAATTCTTTAAGTTGTCGAATTATAACAGATACAAGTTGAATGATTCGTTTTTAAAATTGTTTAAAAATTTTAAAGCAATAATCAATACAGTAACAACTAAAAATGTAAGACACAAGTGAGTGATTAATGGAAACACCTACAGCGTTTTTTGGGTCCTATTCAAAAACCAACCTTCTAATAGAACAGGAAGTAATAGAGACGAAATTTGTCAAATTAAATAATCGAATAATATTAAATACGAAGTAATTCATATCAATTAGGAAGTAAGTCGCTTTATATTTATGCAGTTAATGCTCAATTTAGATAAAAAACCACAAAATAAAAGGCTTCGAAATGCTACATAACAGCATTAAAAAAGCAAAAAGAAAAAAAAAATACCCACCTTAGAATAAACGAATTAGTGACCCATGTAAGAATTGGAGAATAAAGGACTGAAAATTTCTATAACATTTATTAATTTAATTAATTAACATAATATAATTAATTAATAGAATTGTGTTTATAAATTTCAAAATTTTGAGATTATAATCAGTCAATACATTGATAGGAAAACAAGATGAGGTCTCGAATCAAGATTTTGTGTTAGATTTATTCTTAATTTGTTTGACTTAATTTATTGTAATATATCTTCCGGGATAACACAATAAATCTATTATGTATATCTTTACCTCTTCAAATAATATTAATAACGTCTGTTACTAAAAGAAATACTTTCTCATTTTTCGAGTTGATCAAAATAATCTTTTTATAGAGCAGTTTTGTTAAACCAGGACGTGGAAGTTTTGGTGGTAAATATATTATTTTTTGATTGATATTCTGACCTCAACAGTGAAACCGAGTTAGGTTCCATGTTGTTGAAATCTTTACATATTTCTTGATGCTTCCTAGCTTAAACTTTAGGTGGAGGTAATTGAGCATAATGTTCCTACATTGAGTTCTGTCATTTGTTTAAATTTTTATCAAGTTTTTATTCTGTGCTTAAAGCTATCTTAAAGCGATTGCATCCAATTAAATAGTCATTGAAGTAAAACTTGCTGATGCACCAATTGTCGCACGCACTTGGGCGCAAAATATGATGATGATAAGGTGTTTGTAGCCATAGTTTTAAGTCGATAAAAGGATCCCTTTTTATTGTTTGTTCTTTATTTAAGAATTTGATATTTTAGGTCATTACGATGAATAAATTTGACAAATAAACGAATATTTGGTTTGACCAAATATTCGTTTATAAATCAACAAAAACATGTGAAGTTAAATATGAAGAATATTCATTATAAAATAAGCAATACTAGTTAAAAAGAAGATATTAGCATTTACATATGTATTAAAATATATAAATTCAGAAATATATTTATACTACTGATTTAATAAAATTTGGAGGATTAACTTAAATTCCATACTTCCCGTTTTTATTTGAAGTAGCAATTTTAAACAATTTATTTAAAATTTTTTTAACTGACTCAACATAGAATACATAATAAAAATTATTGTTAAAAAAATTAAAAAAATAATAATGTTTATTAAAAAAAATTATCTTTATGTTGAGTAACACAAAAAGCAAACTTCCATAAAATATTGTAAGTGAGCTCAATGAACTATTTAAACATTTCTCTGAATATTTTATTACAAAACAAATAATAAATTTGTGCAAGTAAACAGTTTTCCGTTTGCCTTAACGCACGTTTGCAATTTAATTTCAACAACTCAATTTCATTGTTATTGGGTTGACTTCATTTCTACTGAATGAGGCACAAGTCACACCACCGCCCAAACTATCTGGGCTCATGAATCAGTGCGCGCATATGCCCAGTGCCTGCCTGGCAAACTTCCAATTATTCTACTTCAAAAAATTATATTGTTAATCATTTACTTAAGTGTAGTTAGTTTATTTACTAGTAAAGTTGCCGGCATCTTTGTATCACTTGAAACTGTCATTCAAGCACCAGAACGTGTCATAATACAGGGTACCATTGAAAATTGATATTAATGAATTCATTTTATTTTTATAAATTTTTATTAGTAATTTATTAGCATTTTTTGTGAAATTAAAATATCAAAAAATTAAATGCCATTTTAATGTTGAAAAATTATTTGTTTATTTATTTTGATCAAACCCTATTAATTTACGTCTAGCTCTATGGGATAGCATTCATATAGTAAGTGATATGCCTGCATATGAAAATAAGTCATTGTATTTATTTGCTGTTCTGCAGGTTATTTTTTATTTTTATTTGTATGTATGGTTTTATTCTCAGTAAATTTATAATTTATCTTTAAATTAAACTGGAGCAGATTATGCAGCTGCATTTAAACAAGGAGATTTATTTTCTTGAAATTGCAAGTTGACAACAAAAATGACTTTAAATTCTTTTAGTCATAAAATGGAGCAAATTTATTATTTATAACTTTTATGATAAGTACATTTAAATTATCAATTTATTAATTTATTGACCTAACCAAAGAGAATTGTTTGTATTGAAAGCAAAATATATTATAACAAATGGAATACAATGATATATCAAGTATGATATAAATTTCGATTTTTTGGCTTTAGATGATTTATTGATTATTGAAAATTCTAGAGCTCATATAACTGTCGAATATTAGAAAATCGTCAATGAAACACATTCTCATTTTTATTCCAAAGGTGATTATTGGCTTTTCGCATAAAGATGAGAATGTGTTTCATTGACGAAGTCCTCATATTCGACGGTTATATGGACTCCAGAATTTTCTTCTATTGGCTTAGCTGATCTGTTAAAAATAACACAGTTAAAGTCGTCCTATCTGATAAGCTACCAATATTTTTAGGCTCAGTCCAACATAAGGACTTATTTATTAATGTTGCAGAAATAATTATATCTCCAATTAGCTGCAATTAGATTCATCAGCAAAACTTTTGCCAGTAAAAAGAAGAAATGTCTGGTAAATATAATAACTGCCGAAAACTTCTGACTTTAACATTATACGACATTATTTAAGTTCTTATGTTAGTCTCGAATAGTTTCATTCTGTATAATAAGTTTATGATATCAATCCATTGGGATCTAATTTAAATTGAAGTTTGCTGTGAATTAGAGTCAAAAACATGTTTTATTAATATTTCTAGAATAATATAAATAACTCATATTTGTTTAATATTACTTTTTAAAACTAATTGGTTACAAGCTTATAGGTACTGCTATATTGATAAATAGATTGGTATATCATTATTTCTGAGCTATTTACCGTATTTCTGAACTAATACTTTTGAATAATTTTACAATTAAATTTATTACTTAAGTGAGTGGATTTAATAGAGTTATATTAGCTTGTGCAAAGCTTGAAAATGAAATATCTATATTTAACAGATTAATTTTATTGTTTTATTGTTTGTAAGCATTTTAATGCAAACACCTTCTTTATATATATTTCTAATACTTTATTCTATAAAGTTAAATAAAATTCATTAATTAAAATAAATTAAATTATGTATAGAAGATCCTATTGCAACTTTTAATTAATTATTATAATAACTGTTAGTTTATCCATATAATATTAAAATTTTGCACACTTTGTGTACCAAATGAAAAAAAAATCGGTTTTGATGCTTTTAAGCTTGAAATAAAATGATTTAAAGCATAAAAATACTAACAAAAATCATATTTTGTTTGTATGAGTTTTATTTAAATACAATACTTTATTGTAATTAAAACACAAATGAAAAAAATCGGCTTAAATTAATCAAAAGGTGACTTCAAATATGCAAAAAAAAAAAAATAAAATGAAATAAGCTTTTTCAAGAGCAAGCTTAAAAATAATTACTGACTATTAACTTTTAATTATTCATAATTAATTTTTTATTCATGAAATTGTATCATAATTATTAAATTTTTAATTGATTAAATTTTAAGTATTTATTCAAAACTATTAATCATTAAAAAATAAACTTTAACTTTAATATATTTAATCATTATTATTAAATTATACAATTATTTAATCTAGGAAATTATATATTTTGCAAACTTTTTTACGAATACGAATTTAAGAATAATTACGTTGACATTATAATTGATATCAATATTTCTTCAAGAAATATTTAAAAGCACTTTATAAGCTTTTAATTATTTAATAATATTTATAAGATTATTGTTACCATTAATTAATTTTAACGGAGCTTAAGCAATTTTTATTATAGATTAAAGCCTCAACGAACTTAATCCTGGTTTAAATTAATCAATAACATTAAATAAGAGACCGATGACTATTATTAGTATTTAAAA